ATGAATATCGTAAATTTATACTAAACTATTCAGTGAATAATACTGTATATCTATACATATATTATTAAATATATACATATTATGAATTACAAAAAATATTTAAAAATCCGTAGACTAATTATCACCCAATCAGGAAGAAGAAAATTTTAATCGTACGATTCTCTTTATAGCCAGAGAACATAATGTGCAGGACTCGAACTTCCCACCAGATCAAACTGATTGACTTCGGCTTGGCGCAGACCTTGAAGCCGGACACACCGATCAGAGTCCTCTTCGGTACTCCGGAGTTCATTCCACCTGAAATCATAAGTTACGAGCCAATCGGCACCGAGTCCGACATGTGGAGCGTCGGTGTAATCTGTTATGTCTTGTAAGCAATTAAAATACTCATTAAAGTGTGTCTTTACGATATTGTCGGACACTTCACTAGCAAGTGTTAACTCTTCAAGAGTTCATTAACAGCAACTATGATCGTAAATGTTCAGATTAACTGGTTTGTCGCCATTCATGGGAGATAATGACGCAGAAACTTTTGCCAACATCACTCGGGCCGACTACGACTTGGAGGATGAGGCCTTTGACGCGATCTCGAACGACGCTAAGGACTTTATCACTCGTCTGCTTGTTAAACGAAAGGAGTACGCGTTCGATAGATAAAGCATTAGAGGTGTGGGAAAGCTCGAAAATGTCGGATCACATCGGGACGAGAATTTTTCTCGTCATCGGGGAACGAGTTCCCGAAAATGTCGAGATTTCTTTAGAATATTCGGGATTCTCGGGTATGTCGAGATTTCCGAAAATCTGTCCCGGGCCGATTATCGGGTTCTGAATATCTTCGGGTGATCGCACACCTCTGTGAATCATAGCGTACTTAAAATATTTGAACTGTCTGTTATGTAAATGGGTTTGCAGATTGCGAATTTCGGCGAGGCAATGTTTGGAGCATCCTTGGATGGCGCAACATGCGGAGGCCATGAGCAGGATAGCCTTGCCGACAGAGAAATTGAAGAAATTCATCGTACGAAGAAAGTGGCAGGTAAGAATCATTTCAATATTCCATTTTGCTGTTTGCAGTGTTGTAATGTTTCGATGTTTGTAATATTGCTTGGTTGAGTATGGAAATTCTAAATTCTTTTACAACTTTGCTAGAAACAAAGTAGAATATTAAATATTCTGTTAATCTTATTATATAAGAAGAAAGCGTTTGTTATGTTAGCAAATTTAAATTACGTCTTTAAAAGTTTAATTAACATTTAAAAAACGACTTAAGTATTTTTAACGTTTGGACAATAGCTTTATATATAGTATATGCAATAGCATAATAATTAAGAAACCGCGACGGGGAATGCTAGTCTAATAATAAAAGCATGAGTTTGACGTGTCGCGTGGTCTTGCGCTTTTGTTGCTGTGTAGAAAACAGGAAACGCCATTCGTGCACTGGGTAGGATGGCAATCCTTTCGGCAAACAGCAGGCGTAGTCCAACAGCAACCGCGGATTCCTCGCCAACGTCGGAACCTTTGAACCCAATGGAAACTCCGCGTACAGTCGAAACGTCTCCGAACGAATCGTGTCGCGCAACGGAGAGGAACGGAACGAGTCCCGGCGAGCCAGACGCACGAGCCAGAAGCGTGTACTCCTTCTGTTACAAAACAGAGGTAAACATCGTACCGGAGGAAACATTAGACTCGCCTCAAAAAGTGGAGACGAGCGCATCGTCAGACCTTGAGGAGTCGTTGAAAAGTGAACCGGCGGATCAAGCGGCATCGTGTTCACAAAGGAACGGAGAAGAAACTGATACTATCATTGAAAGCTCTGAAGTTCGCTCGGAACAGACGCTTCCTATGGAGAAAATTGAAGAGAAAACCGAAATTGTGGAACGATATCAAATTGAAGAGCGGGTGTCGATTACGGAAGAAATCACGTCTACTGTGAGACACGTGGATATCGAGGATGAGCCGAGTTGTCGAGATCTCTCAGATGAAATCGCTGCGAAGTTGACAATCGACGAGGAAGTTGTTAACTCGTTTAAAGAGGACTTCAAATGGAACATCGAAGAGAAAGGAGTGAAGGAAGACATAATCACAGAGATTGAGAAGGAATTGAAAGAGAAAACAGATCAAACGAATCCGCAGAAATCGCGTCGAGTTTTTAGGGGTGATTCTCGGGATTCTGGGATTGGAGATTGCGCGTCGAATTTGTCTGCGTCGTCGCAACAAGTGAATGAGCTTGGTATTTCGTCCATCAAGGAAGAGGAGACGGACAACGAGAATAATAACGGTAATGTTAAGAATGTGTTGCAAAAAGTGGAACGGTTTGAAAGCCGTCGAACGTCGCGCGAAGAAGTCACTGAAATATCGAGCAACATGGAGAATGTCGAGGTTCCTGACGCAAAGAAACATGCCAAAGGAAGTATCGAGGTATCTACGCTGAGTGGTGTGACTAAAGCTTCGCGTGAAATTAATCGGCAGCATGAAGGTGTGTTCAATGTATATTTTTTCTTTTCTTTCTACATTAATTAAGAAGGTAGACTCCGATAACTACGCGATAAGGTAGACTGTCAATGTTACCCACAAAATTAGCCAAAAATATGGATTTACGGGAATACATTTTTCGTCCTTATATGAGAATATTTTCCGGTCGTCAGGTACCTCTTTAGAAAGAGGAAAGTCAATAATTCTTGCTTTTGGAAATAATGACTATTATTACTAATAACGAAACGTACAGTTAGTAACATCGACATGTTTTAAAAATACAATAGATGTGATAAATGTTCCACTTTATACTTATTAATGCAAATGTTTCTGTCTTATTTATTTTAAACAACATACAATTATTTATTCTAATCTTAATTTATTTTTAAAGAAACATTTCTATTAGTTTTCCTATTATATTCAAAATGTAGGATAAGTAATAAAAAATTTGTTTGCAGTGTCCGAGGAAATTGAGGACCCAAGGTTGTTAATCGGACGGATTCGTAGCAAGTTCGTCCCAACAGGGAACGTAAGCCGTACTGCGAAACTGTTTGAGAAAGAGGCATCGAAATCGCCAGTGACTCCGCCACAATTGCCGCAGCGGACGTATCCCGCGGCTCCCGTCACACCCGGAAAACCGCACAACGAGAGGATACAAAAAGCGTTTGCCTTTTGGAATAAATAAACTCGTGCACGGTAATAAAAATTCAACGTTTTGTTTGATAAATTCGTGGACTCGACTGAATCTCCACGCGACATCGCACGTGAAACCGCTATTTTAGATACGATTTATTAATCCTTTTTTCAAACATCGAAACGCACGCGCGTCATTTGTGAAGATTAATTTAAGATGTTGATCCTTTCGCTGCCACGCATAAATCGTGGAACTTCAGTACTTACTACATTAATAAGAAGAAGAACATAATAATAAATACACCTTCAATAATATAATAATTATTGAATATAATATTTGTATATATTCTGAGTACAAATGTTACACACGAGTAAATATTAATGGATAAAGTCGATACGATATCGAGGAATTAACATGTGGCACAAACAAGCTTAGTCCCAAGAGGTATTTATTTTAAAAATGATTCTTATCAGTTTTACGTAATCTAAGGCGATAACGTAGTCACAGTATAATTATGCCAAATCCCATTGTTAATATGTTTGTCTCACTTTTAACGTTTCGTTCGAAATTATTTACTCAGAATAAGCAACAAAAAGCGAAACCCGATTTTTAACAAGTTTACTGGTTTCTTGTAGATATGATCATTTGAAAATTTTGAGATTAATTTACGAACTCGTTGCAAGCGATAAGAAATCGTTTGCTTAGTCGATGCGTGTAAATAGCAACATTTTACAAGTGTAGAAATATAATGTATTTATTATATCCTTTGCACCTTCTAATTTTCTTGTGGACGTAAGAAGCAGTTTACATGTATTATTATTATTATTATTATTATTATTATTATTATTATTATTATTATTATTATTATTATATGTTACATGTGAGTAAAAAAGGACATGAAATAAAAACACTCACGTTCCTGTATTCTTACGTTAATTTCAGTTACATATTTGTATGTGTATATGTATACATATATAATATATATATATATATGTTATATATATATGTATATATTAAGTTTCTCTCAAGGTTTGGACGATAAAAGGTGTTGGGGAAGGGGCTGTAATTTTAATTCATCGCCAATGTCTAAATAATTCAGTTCGTCTTTCGTGACAGGCTTCCAAGTGACGTTAACAAATTCATCCTGACACGAAGTGGGATTCCTGCGTCGAAATATTATTTGAACATTTTTTGGTAACTGCGTAACAGATATTAAGAATTCTGAAAAATTCATTTACCCAGTCTTTGCAAAATTCGTCCACAATCTAGTCATTCGTTCCATGGTAATTCTGTCCTTCGTTCCAAGCGCCGGCGGATCCGGATTTTCGGTTTTGCAACGCGGCAAATAGAACAAATACGCTACTTCGTCTACATGAGACGCTCCTAAAGGCGCAGAATAAACGTTGTAACTTAATATATTGAGTACGAAAACGTTTGATAACAGCTGGAAAAGTACAATTACCGGAAACAAGACGATCCACTAGAATATCGGTAGCCGTTTTCTCGTTACCGACGTATGAGTATTTGTAAAGATAATTAGGCGCGCGTGCTTTTTTCACACGGTCCTCTATCAACACCGCTGCAGGTATGCCGAAGTAAAGGTCGGTTATAAACTCTACAAGGCCTAGTATATTTTCTTCTCCGATCGGTTTATTATCGAAATACCGATCCTTCGCCGCAGCCAATAATTTTTCTGACTGAGACTGATCTAAATTTTTCAACATTGCCAGATTTTCCACGTGCCGTGGTAGGAATTGATTGTGCATAGCCATCGCTTTCGGGCTTTTATCTGCAATGAAATTGAACATTGCGCTATTTTTTACTATCAGAAGAGATGAGATAAATAAATCTTCATGATTTAGCGCATAATGGAAATAACCGCAGATGTAGTCAAATATTTAATCTTCGATCGCACATTTGATATGAACTAATCAATCACATTAAGTAACTGATAACACAGTCCAAAGCTTTCTCATACTCTCAGTCTTCATGTAATATTTTCCACAAAATCATTCATTTTTACAGAAACTGCTATTTTTCGGGAACGATACATGGTAAAACATTTCTACTTTTTCTCTAAAAGAAACTCTATAAGGATCACTTAGTGAATATTGCAAAGAAATTTGATACTGTGTAATCGTAGTTATACTTTGTACCAAAAAGAACTATGTTCAAATGAACACTCACCCTTGAAGAACATAATGAATTCATGCGATGTAGAACCAATCATCACAGGAACATCCGCGCCTTCGGCAACCACTTGTTCTATCGGTTCTGGCAAAACTGGATTCTCCGCTACCGGATCGCTGTTCACTCCGAAAGCTAAATTGTAAGACGCCGTTTCCTGAGATACAAAAACATTCCCCAATTATTTATCCACGTTTCCCGAAATAGAAATTAAGAAGAAAGTCTCGTTGCCTGCGGTGTTAAGATGTTGGCCTGAGCTTTGACGATGTCCTCAGCGGACACCGTCCGCAGAAATTCGACAACTTCTATAGGATCGGTGGATTCCTTTCCAAGGAGCGACGCGAGTTTGAAACAACGTTCTGGTCGACATTGATTCATGCCCCAAGTACAGTTCAATGTTCCGCTCTGCAGAATCGCTTTATGGAAGAGGCCTAAAGTAAAATATATCGTATTAAACCGAGATCTCGTGAAGCTCTACATTCTCTTCAGTCATCTTCTTTATTAATCTTATCGTGAAACCTAAATATTACCTTTCGCACGCGGCGATGCAATCAAGGCATGAGATAACGCTCCTCCAGCACTAGCACCAAAAATAGTTACGTTGCCTGGATCACCGCCGAATTTGGCTATATTTTCCTTAACCCATTCCAAAGCAGCGATCAGGTCTTTCAAAGCTTGATTCCCGGGGGCGACTTTATGACCCAGATTAAAAAATCCTTCGGGGTTCAAAGAAATTAAAATAGTTCATTCGCACACAAAATTGGAGACAATTAATTATTTTCTAATCATTCTCCGGGAGCTACATTAATTAGAAACTAACCGAATGCGCCGAGCCTGTAGTTAGTCGTGACAACGACGACGTCCTTCGCGAGAAGATAATCGGGTTTAAACAACTCGAAACTCGAGCTTCCTACTAAAAACGCGCCTCCGTGAATCCAAAACATGATTGCTTTCGGCGATTGAGTCAGGGAATTTGTATAAACGTTCAAATAAAGGCAGTCCTCGTTGCCGATAGGGCTGTACGGCGGAAGTTCGTCTAATTGGAGGCACGAATAACCGAGCACTTCCGTAGTGTCCTTGGTACCGGTCCATGGCGCGGGTGGTTGCGGATCCTAAATATTTTCAAGAGAGATTCCAAACAGGAAGCGTGAGATAGGAGTAAACGGACTGTACAGTCACGACCGCCTCGTTGGAATGTGAAATGCAAAAAAATGTAAAGACATTCAAACAAGTATCATGCATAATTTAACGTGTCTATAAGCTTGTGTGAAGCCCAGGAGACACGAAGATCAATCCTGATACAACATTTTCATTTTACAAAAAGATAATTATTGTCCCAACAAAACATAGATAGAATGATCTTGCAGTTACTGGTAAATTCACAACTCTTTCGATATCGTTGAACCCAGATGGCGAGCATTTTTATCGTTTTTAACAACGCAAGCTTAGGTTAAAATTATGCAAATTTTACGTTGCTTTCACGGAGCGTAGACCAGTGAGCTATTTTAACAGATGGTCTGGAGGCTGACCTTAAATCGAAGATCACCGACGGGCGGAGCGGCAAACGGGATCCCCTTGAAGGCGACGTACGAAGAGCCGAGAACACTTTTTAGCACCGCGCCGCGTAATTTGCCTTGTTTCACCGTTACTACCGGCTCGGACATCGCTAACGACGCTAAGGTTGGTGACTTGACAGTACCGAAACGTGCTTTGCAGAGAAATTGCACGTTAACTGCGATGCGCGAGCGTACCACTGGGATCATATGATTACTTATAGTCAAACTGAAGAGAGATATCGATAGTTACGTCACAGATAAGATATCTTAGCACAGTATATAATACATGCATATTTCTAAATAACCATTATTTACTAGCGACTACAAGCTTAAACATGCTCATTTACTGGTTCGTCGGGGGAACAGGCGGAACTTTTTTTCGGGATGCGCTTTATTATGTAGAGGAGAATAGTTAGGTACGTTATGCACATCACATACACTTGCAGCTGGTGTATAGTTTTATTCATCTTGATTTTAGTTGTACAGTAAATAAACTTTTTACATTGCTGGCCGTATAAATATTTTGGAGCGAAGTGAGGCGAGACGTTCGTCCGATTAAGTATTAATTGCGATTAACATTTGATAAACAGTAATATTTATAGACAAGTCAACAGCTATATAAAATCGATTGTGGTACGTAAGAAAATAGGCCGACCGTCCAAATGGGAAACCAGGCGATTTAGAGAAAGAAAATGAATGGAAGAGTTCCTCTTTTCTATTGACATGTGAGGGAACGCCTCCAAAGCATGTTTTCTCTACCTCTTATGGGATTAACAAAAATATACTTGACGCTCGGTCTATTCCCTTACGTTTACCTTGTAGCATACTTAAAATAGTTAATAATTGTTTAGAAAAAAATCGAATACGTAATTAAAAACATTCGATCTATTCTCTTATACCTACGTTGTAGATAGGCAGTTAATAATTACTTGAAAACACTCGAATAATGTATGTTCGGAGTATAAGAAGAGTACGTAAATAGAAGATAACAACTAACTTGTTCGTTGTGTATAAATATTCGTGAGAGGCACATCGTTTCTTCAAATATGGTTCTGTATAAAAAATATAATTCAGTTTATTCGAGGCACTGTATCGAGCGTCGGTTAAATTTTAATAACTGCAATCTTATTAGTTAGTCTTCTGGCGTTTCATTAGGAATGAAAAACATCTTCCGGTAAATTGGCGACGTACAAAAGCATTTTATCAAAAATTAACGTTTCATTTTGTCGAGAATGGGAACGACCATTTCGAAAGAGGGACGTTTCCCTGGATCTTCGTTCATACAAATTCTGATAAGTTTAGCAAGATGCGGTGATATCCCTGGCGGTATACTGACGCGTAGATCCTCTAGTGCAATCTAGAAATAAATTCAAAAAATGCAAATTTAGTATCACACAATCAAGAAATTGTATCTAATTATGCGTGTTCTAATAACTACTAAATTATTTCGAGTAGCTTGGCTACATTCGAGTTTCTTGATTCTTTTGAATTCTCGGTATTGTATCGGTTCGGTTCTATCGTCGAACTACCCAAAGATTCGAATATTGCGACACATCTAGTTCAAACGGACAATAATGAAAATTCCAGACGCACTTTCATGCCACATTCCATCGGCGAAAGGTCTGCGAACGGAACTTCTCTGGTCGCGAGTTCCCATAATAAAACAGCGAAACTCCACATGTCGCTGGCTTCGAGATTTATGTCGGCGGCCCGTTTGCTCAGTGCCTCTGGTGACATCCAAGCCGGCTCGTAAATGCGACCCACTTCTTGAAACGAGAACTTTGAGTCCGCCATATTCACGCGAGCAGTTAAATCTTCGTCAATCTGCGACGGAATAAAATTACATGATTTATAGGGTGATTCTCGCAACACGATGATAATACATTAGAAATTAATTAAAAAAATAAGTACCATAATGTGTTTGCTGTTAAGATGAAATCTGCATCTGTTCTGCCTTTCGAGACCATGTAGGAATGCCATAGCTCTTGCCACATCGAGAGCAAGTCTAAGTGCGCGTGCGGTATCAACGACGACACCTGTCCCTCCATGTAAAAGCCTGTGCAGACTCCCACGCGGCATGTATTGTGAAACTGTTGCTAATTGCGGCGGCTGATTGACACAGCCGAGTACGGGTAATACATTCGGGTGCGAGAAGATTCTCAGTTTCGGGAATTCCTCGTTGAAATCCCTCGAGATTCGAGCAGTGCACTCGCGTATGTTCAAAATTTTCGCCACGACGTCGTTGTTTTGCCAACGGCCCCGCCAAGTTTCGCCGCTTGGCGTGTTCGCTAAAAGTGTGCGCAGAGCCAAATCTGCCATATTTATCCCTTTGTATCTGGACAGCGTAGCGTCGCCTAAATACAATATATAAAATATTAAATACTACAAGTACCATTACATAAAAATATTAAATATTATAAGTACTATTAAATTTGAACTATAAAATGTTACTTACGACTCCTAGTTTTTAAACCCAACCAACTCTGATCTTTGAACTGGATCTTTTTTAAGTCTTGCCCGTATTCTACAGCCAAATCTATGAGGAGAACAAATTTTATAACGTGACAGCTCATCGATCGAAATATTCGTAATTATTTCATGTAACTTTTTATGTGCGATTAAGTACCATGTAATCTCTTAGCCAAATGGCCTCTTGCTTTATCCAAAGGAGTATCCCCATCTTTATTAGCAATGGACACACGAGCACCAGCAGCTACCAATTCTTCGGCAACTGCTTGATCGCCCCAAAAACATGCATAATGAAGGGCAGTGTTACCGTGTTCGTTCGTCACATTGACGTCGGCTCGATTTCTAAGTAACTGAGAATACGATATTGATTAAATTCCTTAAGAACCAAGGGAACAATAAGATATTCTTAAACATTTTTTATTTCATATCTCGACTTACCAATTGTACTATTTCCTTGTGGCCATGGGCAGAAGCAAGATGAAGAGGAGTATCATCTCCTCTGTTAGTAGCATTAATGCGTGCTCCTCTGCTAACTAGCAACTCTGCCAATTTTAAATGTCCCTCTTTGCAGCACCAATGGAGTGGACTGAACCCATGATCATCGCTATATATAGGACATAGAATCATAATTAATAACACATAAATATTACAGAAAAATGAAGTATTTAGTCATCAATGACATAAGAATCAGAGAAGAATTTGATAGTTTGAAAGAAATATTATTACAAGAACTTGAGGAGTGGAACATCTCCGAAAAAGGAGTTCTCCCAGTATTTACCCTTGATTCATGTCATGTTCAGTGTCATCCAACCAAACGCGCACTTGCATGGCATTTCCCTCGCGGCACCATTGGAAAATATCTTCCATTTTCTTGGTCGGTTATCGGAAGAAATCGAGATTAATATATTATAACGGGGGAGTGGCAGTGCACCGTGCTCCAAAACACTGTAGTCGTCATATACTAAATATAACCATATTTCCGTGTGAGCTGTACTGACACCAAGACTGAATCACTTCATTTATACTTTGTAGATTATTTAACTGGCAGTGAGACTTTTACACAGACATTGAACTGCAAGAAGGAATAGTATGTTTATTTTATAATAATCTGCGGCGTTTTGTTTAGCTGTACCGCATCGTGTTTAATTATTCTGATCGGAGCACAGGCATACTAACACTAACTAGTACAGCGCTAGTACAGTAAGCAAGTAGTAAAGGACTATACTACGGGACCAGGAGAACTGAGAACTCCCTCCCTACTCTGACTACTCCCTCCGTACTGAAGGAGATAAATGACGTCATAAGAACTACACGTACAAAATACGATGCTTACGACTATAAGTGGCTATGCTTGGTATTGCCGGTACTGCCTGGAATATTCGTCCCACGAAAGCGTAAATCTCGCTCTCCACAGATCGGTCTAATTTACTTTTAAAACTAAACAATGTCCACAGCAAAACACAAGCCGAAGGTCCTCGTTTTTGATTTAGGTTAGAAA